TAAAGACACACAGAAATAAAAAAAAGGCAAGCGCAATAAGGGGCAAGAAAGAGATGAAGAAAAGAAAAAAAAGACGAGGGGGGCAACTGGAACCCCACCGTTATTTCTTCGTCCTGTCGTCTCTCTCTCTCTCCCTCCCCTTACCCCTTCCTTTTTCTGTTGCAGCAAACCCAAAAAGCATACAATAATGAAGGAATCTCACAACGGTTTTCCCACCTTGCCCAAATACTGCGAGGAAGAATACTGCGGGTATTGGGATGGAGGGTACTGTGGGGGGGGTCCCCCACCTTGTCCTCCAGGGAGGGCTTGTGGGTAGTGCTCTGGTGGTCTTCCACTCGACGCCTGCATGAGGGGAATTCCAGCCATAGACTGGGAACCGCCGTATTGCGATGGCGCCTGCTGTGGATAATACGACGACTGCTGCTGCTGCGGCGGCGGCGGCGGTGGATAATACGGCTGCTGGGACTGTGGATAATACGGTTGCTGCTGCGGCGGCGGAGGAGGGTAATACGGCTGCTGTGGTGGCACCCATGGATGCTGGTATTGCTGCGGCACATAGTGCATGAGACTGCTGTTCGTTGTAATTTCGCCAAACAGCGAAAACGTTTTGTACAAATCCACCGGCTTCGAGCTGGAAAGCTGAGGCACCTGCTTGTATCCTTTCTGACGCAGCATTTCCCTTGTCTTGATGAAAATGTCGGCGTAGGTGAGGCGAGAGGTGTTCAGCAGGGCCCAGGTGAGGGCCTGTGTTGCGGCACCGCCGGCGGCCACGGAGCCCGCCCCAAAGGAGGAGGTGTTCGCCACATCGGCGCTCGTCCCGGCATCGTCGCAGCCGCTGAACATCACCACGTCGCCGTGCGAAAAATTGTTCCCGCGCACCTTCCGCATCTCGTGCCGCCCGCCCGAGAGGTAGTTGTTGTTTCCCACGAACGCAAAGGGAAGGTCCAGCAGGGAGGCGGAGTGGCAGCAGTCAAAGACCGCCGTCATCCGCACGCCGGCCGGGAGGCGCCTGACGAGCAAGTCAAACAAGTCGTCGTCCACGATGGCGCCCTGCGACTCGTAGTCCAGCGGCACAAGGCACTGGTCGTACATCTCCTCCGAGTCGCGCTCCGCCTTGGTCTCCGTCCCGTGTCCAGAGTAGTGGAAAAACAACACATCCCCGGGTCGAACATCGTACACCAACCACGCCATGTGACGTATAATGTTTTTGCGGGTCGGCAAAGCCGTAAAGTTGGGGAAACGCGGGTCATCCACCAGAATACAACACTCCGAAATGGGAAACTGGATTCGCTGCAGCGTCGCAAGCATTTGTTTGGCGTCGTTAACGCATCCACTCAGTTGACTTCGTGTGGCTGTGTAGTTGATGCCTATAAACAGCGCCTTCACTCGGCCTCCCGTGTACGGGACAGGGGCCCTGTACGGGATGACCGGACGGCACAGGTGTGCCTCACGCAGCGCCTCCTCAATGTTGACGCGTTTTGGACGCTTTACCCTTCCAATATTGTTCACCACATACGGCACGGCAATCTGCGCTACACCGCTTAGCAGCGCGCCAACAAGCAGATCCATTTTCTCGCTTATCCTGCCGCTACCGCCCACCGCCGGTGTTGCTGTTGCTGTTGCTGTTGTTTGTATCTATGCCGCTGGTTGCGTGTTTGTATGTGCAACCGTGGCCGCCACTTCGCCTTCCTCTTCGTCTCAAGAAACTTTGCTACCGGTGACCCTTTTATCCAAGGTTTACAAACGGCAGGGTGGAGAAGCAGCGGCAGTTTGGGCGTAAAGAAGAGGGGGAGTGACATTTCCTTGCTTGACTACAAGTTTGTTTGTTTGTTTGTGGTTCTTTTCCGTTGCCTCGTTGCTTCTCCCTCTCTCTCGCTTCCTCCCCCCATGCACCCCACACACGGCGAGCCTGCGACGCGGGAACCTATATACAACTGGATACACCGGCCCTGTGAGGGCGGCAGGTGCGCTCTCGCGCGGTCCACCCGCAGCCACGTCAAAAGAACCACACGCGACTTGCCGGTCGCAGCCCATGGGAGAGCAGGAAACTCTCCACGACGTACCGGCTGGGTGCGAGGAACGGGCTCACAAGCACCGCGTCGGCCTTGCTAACCACCGTCAGATCCACTAGCTCCTCGTGGGCGCCGGCGGGTTCCTCCGGGCGGAACAACGCCACATCCCACCACGCGGGCTTCGTCGCAAGCCGCTTTATCTCCCGCCACATCTCACTTGGCGCGCTCACGTACACGGCGTCAAAGCCGGAACCCGCGCCCTTCAGTTTCCCCTCCTCCATGACTTGCGTGATGCGCTGGACCAGCTGTGCCGCCGTGGGGGAGCACTGATGCAGGGTGTTGTTGCTCACGTGAGCCTCGAAGCGCCTCCGCTCCTCCGGAAAATTGGCGCGGAGGTACAGAAAGTGATCCCCGCGCGGCTCCCCGCGAAGCGCAAGGCAGTCCTCTACCGAATTGTGCGCCAGCACAGCCAGAAGCCTCCGTGCTGTGAGCGCGTGTGCCGTAAGGAAGCTCTTTGCGTCCTGCACCACACCTGGGTGAGGAAGCAGCATAGAGCGCGCCGCCCAGTAGTCGCGGGTGCCGTATCCGGCGTCGCCCGCGGAGTCCTGTAGACACGACCTCACAAATTCGCTCGCATTTTCCATCTCTGCGCAGTCCATACAGAAAGTGACCAGTGGTGTTTCTACCAAATCGTGCAGAGCAGCAGTGGTGCTTTCAACGTTCAATTTCCGCTGAAATATCGAGGGGAAAGTGACGTTGGGCTCATTATTGCGGTAGGCGCAGAGGGCGAACTGCTGTAGAAGCAGCACCCGCTCCAGCACGGTGGCCACGACAACCTGAGGCTCCTTGTCCTGGCCGAACAAAAGTGCGGGGCTACCTGTGCGGCCAAAATAGGTGAGCTGCTTCCTCCCTTCCCCCTCCTCCCCCTCCGGGAGGTAAATGGCCTCCCTGTCCTTCGGGTCCGCCTTGTCGTACCTCCACCTCATTCGCCGCATGCGGTCGGCCTCTGTCCCCACCCATCGTTGCGAGGCATTGTCGAGGTCCTCCTTCCAGCGGAGGAGAAGGGATTCATCCGAAAGCAGCGTGCATCCTGGCATATTGCTGCAGAACAGTCTGTACGCTTCCCGCACGGACGCCAGTGACTGATGAATGTGCACCCTGTGCATTCCCTCGCCCTGCGTCAGGTTGCCCAGCAGCTCCGTCAGGCGGCGCAGCTCGCCTTCGGCCGCCGTCAGCGCCGCGTTGGGGGCCCCGCCCTGCTTGGGCTCCCCTTCGCCAACGATGGTGATCTCCGCCCTGCACTTGTCCACCGCATCCGTGGCCAACTTGAACTCCTGCGACAGCCGCTTCATCTCCTCCTCAATCTTCGCGTTATCATTCTGCACGGCGTCGATGGTCTCGTTATTCGACGACACGTTGGCGCTGAGGAGTGAGAGCTCGTTGCCGCAGGCCTCCAACATGGCGGCGGCGTGCCGCTCCTGTCCCCGGCTCTTCTCGTACTTGGACAGGAAGTCCCTCTCCCACGTCGTCACGCCGTGGCGGTAGCCCAGCGCAAAGGCAATCATGACCAGCAGCACCAGCGAGGCCAGCATGGCGGGGTGAAACCGCAGCTCCACGCGGCGATCCCGCATTTGGTCGGCCAGGGCACAGCTGCGCCTCGGAGGTGTTCCCACGGGCCCACGCAGAGGTCGTGTGGTCGCGCTCTCTGCTTCTCTACGCCAGCGCCCCCGGTCGCCACTGACTCGGGTGAAGAAGGCAAAAACTAACGCGGAAGAACCGAAGCCCTCGTGTGCGCAGCGGGCCGCTCGCTAAGAAAAAGGGAGGCGAGGAGAAGCATGAAAAGCGGAAACCAAAAAAAAAAAACAGGAGCAGCGGTAGTGGGGCGGGTAGCCAACGTCTCCACTCGCCCCTGCGCCTCGCCGAGCAAGAGCTTTTTTTGTGTGTCGTGGTGCCTTGCCCGCCGCTTCCTCCAACCAAGCCGTGTTGGTTTCTTCTACCGCTCCTTCAGGGCAAGTTGTCTCTCTTTCTTCCTTATTAGTTCGCCTCTGTCCTGCACTCACGCCTCACTCCCTTTCCCCTCGTCCCTCTCTCCCTCCCCGGGGCAACCGCGCAGCGCCCATGTCTTCCGTTCCCTCCCCCTCCCCCCTTCGCACAAATACACGCTCGCAGCACGCACAGAAAAAACGTGTACACAGATATGCAGGGGGCGCTAGAAGGGGAGAAATCACGAGATTTTCTTCTCGAAGCCGCCCAAAGGCGTGCCAAACATTTCGCTCAGCTTTGCCTTGCTGGGCTTTTCTTTTTTCTTTTATTATCCTTCCCCCAATTGAAAGCCGCCCCACTTGTCACAGCCTACACGAGCCGCATGATCTTCTCCCGAATCGCGGCTGCGTGCGCCGCGCGTTTGGCCCGGTCGGACGAGTGGAACGCCAGCACCATCTCCAGCGCGTGGGAGAGAAGCGGGACGACGCGGCTCGGGTGTTGGCCCGCCGGAAAACGGAGCGCAACATCCGCCGTCTGTGTCACCAGCGCAAAGACCGTGTCGGGGTGCGGCCTGAACGGTACGAGGCATCGGAGCGCCCTCTCCGCGGCGTGCAGCACCCACTGGACGGTGTCGGCGGCGGGCACGGCGCCCACCTGCCGGTCGAGGCCCTGCAGGCTGCCGACGGCCCTGCGGTACTCGGACACGGCCGCACAGACACGCAGGACCTGCAGCGTGCGCAGGCTGGCGCTGGTGTCGACCGAGATAAAGTTGTTGTTGACTGCCTGCCCCACGCGATAGACCTCCTCGCTGTCAAGCGCCTCCGGGGAGCGCAGGATGTGTTCAAAGCGTATTTGCACTGGCTTCGACTGCTGGCACTCCACCGCTAACCACACAGCAGGTGCCGTGTCACCGCACTCGATTCGCTCCTCGATAATCTTCGCATGCAGCACCTCCACCGCCTTGCGTCGGTAGTAGTCAACGGAGGCGATCCACTTATTTAAGGTCTCGCTCGTTGCGTACTTGTCGCGCAGCAGGCGGCGCAGCGCCACCTGAACCCCACTCGTCTCCTCCCAAGCGGAGCCAATGAAGGTGTGGAGGGTCAAAAAAGTGTAGCGATCGCCCACGGCGCTCGCCGCCCGCGCCGTCACGATGTCGTACAAAACGGCGGGGTTCATGAGCGGCGAATACACCACGTACATGGCCGCGGTGCGCCAGAGCAGTGGGTGGTGTCGAAATTGGGCAACAAAGTCCTCCACCAGTCCGTTCCGAATAAAAGTGACGTGCATTTGATCCACGGGGGCGCCAAGCGGGGGGGCACAAATGTCAGCCACGTGGGCTGCCATGAAAAGCAGGGCAAAGCGCCGGAGCTGTTTTGAGTCGACAGGCACCTCCGTCGTGCTCGCCGCCTCTGACACCACCTCTTCCGCCGTCTCCGTGCTGGTAACCAACGGCGAGGAAACGACGTTGCTGTCCTCGTTTGGCGAGGCCGGCAAGTACGCATTGCGGCGAACTGCCTGCCCCACAAGCTCCATGGCGCACGCTATGTCTGCCATGCAGCGGCTAGCCAATATTCGCTCAATGACGCCAACGTACCACGGCCCCTTTACAGGACCCTCCCACGACTCCCATGCACTTTGATACAAGCGGTGCAACTGGCACAGCGTCATATACGGCTTGCAGACGGCGCACACCGCGGCGACGTAATCCATGACGTCTAGCTCTAGCAAGTGGCATGTCTCCAGAATCAGCGCCGCGTCCCCGCTGAGCATCAAAAGTAGGTCCAAGCATAAAGACTTGAGCTGCTGTGCCGCTTGCGTAATTAAATCCGAGGCAGGAGTTGCGGGTGTCAAGACGCGCTTGCAGTCGACGACAAGAAGGTTGGCGGTGTCCACCCACTCTCTATGACTCGTGCTGTCGAGTGGCGTCTCCAGGAAGAGCCGGATGACGTCGGCCAACGTGCTCTCCTCCTCGGCGTCAAAGGGGTCAACAACGCCCGCGCGCAGGTAGTCTACGAGCGAGCTAATCAGGGCCGCTGCGGCAGGGAAGAGGCCGGCGAGGAAGGCACGCTGGATGGAGATCAGGTAGGGCCCCAGGATCCCCTCGAAGAGGTCCTCCGCCGCCGCTGGCGAAAGCGGGGCCTGCGGCGGCACCGCCTCCAGCGAGCTTCGCAGCCCGTCAATGGCGTCCAGGGAGACAAACCGGCCGCGATACCACTCCAAGTATGGCCCGCTCGCGTTCACTCCGTCGTCGCCACCGTTCTCCAGGATGGCGACGACGACGGAGACCAGCTCCCACACCACCTCGGCCGTCGGGTCCACCACCGCCACGTCGCCAACCGACTTCAGCCGCGAGAGGAGCAAATCGGACCACTCACTTAACGCCTGCGGGAAGGCAGGCGTGCCTCTATTATTATTATTATTACTGCTGCTGCTATTGACCGTGCCTGCGGCAGCAGCAGGCCCGCAAGAGCCAAATCCCCCCGCGAGCGACCTGGCAAGGTCATCGTTGCAGCTGCTAAAGCGGACCCGCTGCAACTGGACGAACGCGTCGAATCCGGACCGCACCGCGGCAACGAGCGTGGGCGGAAGCTCCGCTGCAGACGAGCTCATGTGCTCTTTGGTGGGCCCGTAGGCGTGTGTGTGTGTGTGTGTGTGTGCGGTTTGATTGCTTCTCCCTGTCCCCGCCAGCGCCGTCTTTGCCTCTCTGTTTGTTTGCGCTGTTGGTCCTCTTCCCTCCCTTCTCGCGCTGGTGCGCGTTTCCTTCCGCCGCTCCGCCCTTCTTCCTTTTCGTGTCTCTCGTGCCCCCTCTTTTCCTCACGGCTCGGGCAGGGAATGCAGCTGCGACAGCGTCCCTGCGGGAACCGAAACGAGGCGCCGGACGGTCACCCCGGCAGCCGTTGAGAGGCGGGAGGGAAACGCACCCGCCCACGCACGCAGGCAAACGAAAAAAAAAGTCAAAAGAAGAAAAATACGCAGAGGGAAGGAATGGGAAAAGAAAAAGAACAGCGTACGCGGCTCCACGGCTGCGTCCGTGGCGGCCTCGGCGGAGGCCCCGCCGCCCAGCAGCCGGAGGTGCGATGCAGACGGCAGCAAAAGCACGAGGAGCCAAGAGAAGGCCGGACGCCCCACTTCCAGAGCAAAGGAAAAAATAAAATAAAACATTTTTTTTTATGAAAGGCGCGCGCACCCGCAGTTCCCCGCCCTGTTCCACCACTCAGCAAGGCATCCTCCGCATTGCCCCTGTTACATCTAGTCTTTTTTTAAAAGAAAACAAAGCAAAAAAAAATCAGTTCGCTTCCGTCGCATGGCTTTCCTCCGCCACACCCGCCCGCTGCGGGGCGACCACGTCGTCGGCGCGCAGACGCCGGCAGAGCTCCGCCACACGGAGGTGCACGCCCCACTGCCACGCGGTGCAAACGCCGAAGACGAGCAGCCCCCCGGCGGAGAGAAAAAAGAGCTCCCGCAGAACGTGTGCGACGAGGTTGCCGATGGTGCGATCCACCACGATGACCAGCAGCCCCTTGACAGCCGAGAGCCAGAGCACGTCCCGCCACCGCGGCTCCTTCGCAAAGAACCTCAGACACACGTGCGAGGAGACGCATGGAAAGCCCACGAAGAGGGCCAAGTTGTACATCTTAGCGAAGAAGGGCAGTGCGGAGAGGCCGAGCAGCATGAAAAGCAGCATGAAGTGCGCCCCAAGATAGCGAATCGTGACCACCGAGTGCACCCGTGTGAAGGCCCACAGCATCATCGCAAACTCCCCGACAGTGCTCTGTCGCAGAAAGGCAGGATACCTCCCACGCTCACGAGTGGTGATTTTGCGTAGTTCGTTGCGCAAGGCGACCAAGATGAAGACGGTCTGGATGAGTGCAACAAAGACGTGAGCCGAGAGTGTGGTGGTGGTGTAAAGCCCCAAGATGTACCGCACCCGACCAAATACTTCACAAACCAGATTGAACCCGGGCCCCAACGGCATGGCAGCCCAAGTGAGCAGACAATAGAGCAGCTGGCAGATGAACTTCCACTCCAGCGCGAGCAAGTAAAGCTCCGCACGCCAAAAACAGCTGACGGCGCTGCCGAGGAAGCCCTTGAGAGTCGAGAGACCGAGGACGTCCGCGAGCGACGGCGCCAGGCGACGGAGCCCGTCCACGAGGGAACGCGCCGCAAGACTCACGACGCGGCAAACAGGCAGAACAACCGCCCTGCAAAGCACCATCACAACCGTCCCCAGACCTTTTACGCAGAAGACTGTGATCTCCCACTCTGCCTTGAACGCCCAGCTGTACGCCCCCCACAGACCCGGCACAAAATCCAGTCTATCTAATGCCCAGCGAAAGGCGTCGCACGAGGAGTTCCCAATTTGCGCACCCAGGACGTATCTTCGATCTTCGGCATATTTTTGGCTAGACACATTGCAAAAGGGGTGTTGGGGGTGCCGCCGCGTTGCGGAACAGTAAACCCCAGTTGTCAGAACATTTACATTTTCCATCGCGGCGACAGCGTACGGAGTTGCTTTTCTTACCGCACGCAAAGTCGCACATCGGGCGACCACCGCCCACTCAAAAAGCTTAACCGTCGCCGCTGAGGTGCCGGCAAGCAAGACACTTTCCAGGACATACGTCAAGTGCTCCTGCGCGCTCTGAAGAACCGTAGGCATGTGCCAGAGACATCGAATAGAGTAAGGCACCTGCCTCTTTAGCGTGGGCGGAGCAACGCTAGGGTCCTCCAGCAGCCGCAACATCGCGTGTCCCCCCAGCCTGGGAAAGCACACGACGAGGGAGCCAGTGCCACTGAAGAGAAACTTATTAAGCTGGCGCAACTGCCCTAGCGCGTCCACACAACCTTCCGCACGACGGATACTTTGTGAAGAGGCAAGATAACCATTGCCGTCGTACAGCTCAACTTCTACGTCTACAAGAAGCACATCCGATGCTAAGCCTAAGCAACGAACATTAAACATGTTGGTCTGGATTTCCTTGGAGGTTGGTAGCCTGCAGCGGATTGTGACGCCCTCCATACGAGCATTCGACCCTAACAAGGCAATACGATGCATTGGGCGTTGACCACTGGAAGCCGTCCGCACACAGCCTTCCAAGGCGTAGATGCGTGTATCGTCTGCAAGCGAAACCAAGAACTGCGTCAGGCCCTGCAAGCCACCGCTGTCCTCGTGGGCAGTTGGGCGCGACGCCTGGGCTCGGCACGGCACCCGCGCCAGCGTCACAGCATCGTGCACCACAAAGAGGTGGCGAGGGTCAACGGCGCCGTGGGACGGCCACACGGCCACCTGTCCGTAGTACCGCGACACCCACGTCGCGGTGTCAGCTGGCATCTCCAGCTGCACGCTTCGACTGAGCTGCGGCACACACACGCAGATAAGAGCGAATGAGAGCAAAAAAGGCGCAAGGCCCTTCTTCCAGGAAGTGGCGCCACTAACCACGGCGAGCCCCAGTGCCACGGTGGCAATGTAGAGGGTCAGCCCCGTGTGCAAGGAGGCCATCCAGAGGACGGGCAGACACAGACAACCCAGGTAATGCCATCGGATGTAGTCAAGCTTCGCCCCGACGCGATATAACACGGCCACAGCAGCCTGAATGAGGAACACGAGTATCAGAACTGCCGCAACGACACCAAAAATAAGCAGCAAGTCCTCCTCTTGAAGTAAGAACGGCATGTTTTCCTCCCGCTCTCGTGTAGCTGGTGCTTCCCCGCTCCCTCCCTCGCACCCCCTCCCCCTACGCGTCCCACACTCCCACGGCTGAGACCCGGGTGCAGGAAGAAACACAGCCTAGTGAAGACAAAAAAAAACAAGCAAGGCACATAAGCACAAGCGAAAGTTATTACTTCACATTTTTTTTTGAAGGGGACAAGATGTCGCACGCACCCTTCCCACACGGATGCGACACCCAGACGCATTGGAAGCAAGTATTCAAGGGAGGAGAGGGAGAATCAATGTGTGTAAACAAATACGCTGTGTTCATTCATGCACTTGTGCATATTTATATATACATATATATATATATATATATGTATACATACATACATACATACATACCTAGATACACGTATATATATATATATTCACAAACAATAAGAAAAAAAACAGACAAAAATATATTCACTCTTATAGTTTGTTTCTTTGTTTTCCTACTAAAAACACAAAAACAGGAGGAGAAATAG